GAGCATCTTTCCTCGCAATTGGGATATGATGACATGCATTGACCAAGTCAGCGAGCCTGATCCCTTTTACGGCAAGCATGGGTTGCTGAAGACCTACCGGCATTGTACCCCAGATCTTCACGGGTTAGGTAGAGATGTGATAAGCATGAAAAGGTTCTTTTGAGACCACTAAAAATGGTAAGTTTATCTTTGAAGACAAGGGTGAAGAGCAATGTTCTGTTACTCCTGGCTATTTCCCATGGAAATGTGTCATAGGATCATGATGAACAAACAAACCTGTTTATCTTCACTGGTTATCATCATTTTGATAGTAATTGAATATGCATGTTAAACTGGATACTGTTTCCAAGATAACCTGCAGTTGAGACATGATGCGTGGTATATGTGAGACATTCACTAATCAGGGTTAACAGATAAGTCATAGTTTTCATTTCAGTTGATCTTGACCTTGCTAGTACGATGATTGTAGTTCTACACGGGCATGTTGACATGGACATTGTGTGATAAGAGACAGACAGTGTCGATAAGCTGTTGTTGCCTATGTGATGTAGACAGGATATTATCATGAGTGTCCCTCTCACAAAGGGAATGAATATACTGACATCCGTATTCAGGCACTTATCTTTTCTGGCTGTATTTACGTATTTAAGTTTTGAAAGTATGAAAGTCTGACTTGTCAAGAGGGCTTTATTGGCAAACCAATTGTATTAGAATATTTTGCGATGCATGTTGCGGTATATTGGGAGCTAAAGTGGTCTTCGAGTAGATTGACACTTTTATGTTTTTTAAGGCCAAAGTGGTGCCAACCCTCTGTTTTTCCCCTCTTGTTGCAATGATGTCCGTGTCAGCATGGTCAGTTGCCACCATTTTGTTGTCATGGATACAGGGGAGATAACAGCTTGAGAGAAGAATCTGCTGTTTTGACAATCAATTTCGAAGGGGAACATCATTTGTGAAGTTATTTCTGTGTACATTTTAGGTTAAATGGCACAAATAATTTTAGGTTTAATGATACACATAATAACGAAACACGTTATATATTTTTTACCCAATATGCTGGAAAACTTTAAAAAATATTGCAATATGTAATTTTAAAAAGCATATGTCAGTATGACATGATATCGGTAATACAGTGCAGTCCTACTTGACAACATGGATCTATGCTTGTCTGAAGACCTGCTGAAATGAAAATAAATATGATATGGGTTCATGTCCTTCTATATAAGCATGACAGCTTGCTTTGACTGAGTGAGCAAACTGTTGTATTCTAATGGAATAGAGTGTAAATGTGTACAGTTTGGATCAGTATTTGACTGTAACACTTGTCTATTTGAACAAGGTTTGTGAACCATGCGACACAGGCTAGTATAATCACAAGAGGTTACAGGTAGTTTTGTTGTTAGGTTCAAACAACATGTACATAAATTGTACATGAATCAAACGTGTACATTCCATAAACACAAGCTACATAGGGCAAACATATTAGTCCAACCAGGAAGACACAAACATTGGTAAACAATAACTAAACATGTCTGAAGGCACACTGCTACATGAACTCTGCGGCACAGCATGTACTTCCAACTAGAAGTGGACTACCCTGTGTGGAGCATGCTAGAGACGATTCATTAAGAATGTCTGGTTTTCATACCATGTGTTCTGAGAACATCCAACAGGGATTTGGCACCACCACCCTGTACTTGTAAGTGGCAGCTATATGGAGCAAGTGGTCTGATTTGGCTTGTTTGGGTATTATCATACCCGACGGCCTGAACATTGCTCATAATGTCAATCTCTGGTTTGTCAGGTCCATGCTCGATAAGGCCATAGCTGGAATATTGCAAGGACGATGTTAAACATGATAAACAACAAATAAAACAATGTTAACATCCAGCCATTATATGAGCTCCATATTACCAATGTTCGGGTTTAGCAAGTGAATATTTCACTCTGGTCAGATTGTTCTACATGATTAGGTGATCTGTGATGATGCGGGTTAGAATTGGTCTTCAGCAACCCATAATTATCATAAGAGGTGGCTAAATGGATCGAGTGGTCTGGCTCAGTGACTTGGTTGATGCGTGTCATCGTATCCTAACTGCATAGATCGCATAGATCGATGCTCATGATGTTAATCACTGGATTGTCTGATCCAGACTAGATTATTTACAGAACGTCTTCATCATGTTCATACAGCATGAAAATTGCGAAGTGTGGCTTTAAACAATAAGTAAAGAAGTAAACATAATTAGGTTTTTTGGCCATCTGGCCATCTAGCCATATATCCACCTATACTTAACCTCTGCAGTGACAGCAAAACACAATGCATAATGAAAAACATTAATGGACCTTAGCTGTGGTTACAATGTAACAATGTAACAATGTAGGAGTCCACAGTCCAGCAACAAGCAGGTTGTCACATATCTGGGTTATCATGTGCACTCACAGAAAGGCAAAATGGCAGGTAATAGGCCAAGTTTTTCTGGCCACATTTTTGACAGGCACGTGATAAGCAGACTGTTGCAGTGTTTGTGGTCTTAGCTCCCATGGGAAGACCAAGGCTTTGCTCTGTGTTCAACAACCTGTTTTTGTGGGTTCCCTAACTCCGTGTTTGACATGGAGTACACGTTCCCCACATGGCCACCTCGCATTGTACCAATATTTCACCACCTCACAGTGGTTGGTTATATTTGACTTTCAACCTGAACTGTTTGTTACATCATGTTAATGTTATAGTTTGTTTAAATAAACTCATTATGTAACCCCAAGCCTGTTATGGTCCCTTTTTTTTAAAAAATCAGAAACAATACAGAATTTGAAAAGGGTTTTTCTATTTTGATGTTTTTTTACCAAACAAGTTTAAACACTATTTTTCTTTTTGTTCATTTGACGTGTTTGAGATTTCAAGAAATGATGTAGAAACACAAGCAATGTTCTCATTTTGGTGTAAGACATATTAGCACAGCCAGGGAGCATTCCAAATGTTTGGATACAAAAGGAAAAAACGTGTGCTATTAGGGCTGGGACAAGTCCCAAGTTTACTACCCGGGTACCCAACCCCCTATTACATGACCCTACCCGGGTACTCCGCTGTAGGTCTCAAAAGATGTCTGATTGGGTATAGATTAACTATGGCCTTGGCAAAATGTATTTAGATACTCATATTAAACAATCTGATCATGCACACACTGAAGTTGAGTGAAGTTTTATCTTTATTCAAACATGTAAAGGAATGAGTACATAGTCAGAAAGAAATGCAAACATTAGTCACTTCTTGTGTAACCATTAATGTTCTAGTTATTTTGTCATTAAACAATACATTACGAGACTAACCACAGGTCTGGGTAGTTCTGTTGGTATCCAGGTCCTACTCAGGAGCCACCCGACTCAAGTACCCGAGTTACCCGTCCCAGCTCTATGTGCAATATCAATGTACAGGGATTTATTTAGGCCGGGATTCCACGATATTCTCGCACAGTGTGCAACATTGTTAATGGCTGACAGGCAAAACTAGTGTTCGTTTTTGCAACATCTGAACATAAACACTGGTATTGCATGAAAATCTTGTTTCGTTTAAAACAGGATCTACAACACCAACATTATTAAGCCATATTTTTTTGTTTAAATCTTTCCAGAAGACAAGGAAAAAACCCAATTGCGGGTAAAGCTTCAAAACGCTGACAAATTTAAAGCAATACAATATCTAAATGGCTATACCCACAGCTCTTTTTCCATAATAATATACACATTTCAGATTACAATCATATTTTAGATGATATTCGCGTAGCCTTTAGGTAAGGCAGCACTGGTGGAAGATATTTCATGATCATACCCTCCTTTAACATGTTCAAGAATGGCCTCTGTGTGAGAATTACAAATTTTGAACTATTTCTTGTGGCCAAACAGTAAGTTTTCTTCTAGATTTGTCCATAAAAAGTTTAAAATGTGACAATCATTCATGTGTAACTCATAAACATGGTGAATTTCAACAGTATTTTTAACTTCCAGTTTTTTGTAAATAATTTATGGCTGCTGCACAGGGTAAACAACATCTTCTGCAGGGAAATGAATTAAAATGCTAATTAGCAAAAGACTGTCACTATAATTAATTGGAAATTCAGCAATATTTCCTTTGATACAGTACATACTACAGACAGAAATTGATGAAAGCACTATGTTTCATAAAATATCATCAAACTGTTAGACCATTTACAACAGTCGGTATTTTATGTCTGATCACTTTGAATATATTCAATTACGATCTAAATACACATTGTTGAAAACCTGGAAATCTGACAATGGCAGATTGTTGTCTCCAGCATGCCAACTAAAGGAACAGCTTGTCTTGGTAAACATGTCTGCTAAACAATCTATAATTGTACTTTTGAACGAGTGAATAGTTCCTCCTCAAGTCGACAATGAATAGAAATACATAATTATTAATGTAATTAGTATTTAGTAATTCCTCCTAAAGTCAACAATGAATAAAAATATGTACACATTAATCATAATGTAATTAGTATTTTATTTCAGTTGACAGTGCTCATTATCCAATTATACACAATTTTTTTAAATATTTGCAGTGGAATAATCAAGTGTCCACTCAAATACCATGAATACAGTTTTCACTGTTTGAAGACAAAATGTCTCTGATAATTAGCAATGTATCATCACACTCCCCCAAATCTCATTGTTTTGGACGGTTATATCCCATTAGTTAGACGTCCCATTAGTTAGACGTCCCAATTGTTGGACATTTTATTTAGGCAAAGAGCGAATATACCTACAGGTGTAATGGATCAGTCCTAATTAGATTAAAGTACTGAGTAGGGATAGGGGACTCACAGTTTAGGGAGTATATATGTTACAATTTCGTTTAATTAACCTAAATTACCTTACTCTCAGCACAGGTTCAATAGGCATGAGGTTAACCATGTAAACTATGGAGTAGCTTAATTGTCTTACTGTATGATCAGTTGAAGGAGTTGAGTTTAGATTATCTACTCATCAAACAAATAAATATGATCTTGGGGTACGTATCATTATCAGTATCGATATGGCTGGTTTAAGGAAAGTAGAGTACATCGCCTCTCGGCGTAGTAGTAGGCAGTTGATATTAGATGGATATGTTTACAACAGAAACCGCGAGAGGCAAACCTGCACACATTGGAGATGTGTCGTCAAGACGTGCAATGAGAAATGTACGACTGTCGGTGATAAATAAACTGTAACAGTTATTAAATGTAAAGTGTACATTACCAAAAACTGTCACAAAGTGTTGTTACAAACTGTATAAAATTTATCAAATGTAAAGTGTCATTAAATGTTAAGTATAATATAAAAGTATCTATTTAAAGCTACTTTGCCTTGTTTGTCAGATCTTATCTGGACTATTCCATTTTAAAGTCTGAGGTAACAAGCATAAGGATTAGTGTGCACTCAACCGTTTAAAGTGTTGTTATAAGCTGTCTAACTATTGGGACGTCTAACTAATGGGAGGACACCTTTTGGACCAGGGAAGATTTTTCTCTCACAGGTAAAAATTTCCGGGATAATCTCTGAATGTATATGTTCACAAACATCAATGGTACTAATTGATTTGTGCATTTTGCTTTCTGAAAGAATCTGTTGGATCAGGTAGAGATGTCAACATTTTCTCAATTGCGGAATCTCCATACTTAATTTTTATATTTGACATCAAATTTTTAAACAACTCAATCGCTGCTGCATCACATGTTGAATGGTTTCCCCCTATATTTATGAGGCCCTATATTCAGGGCGCTGTGATGTCAAGGCTGAGTATGTTCTTGTTGAACGTGTCAAATGTAGCACTATACCCTGACACAGTCACGTCAGGTCGGGATGAACTGTCACACTGGCTGTACAAATGCTTTGTAGATTAGTCAGACCGCCTCTGTGGTCTAGTGGTAGAGCTTCCGCCTGGTGAGCGGAAGGTCGGGGGTTCGATCCCTGGCCGCGTCATACCAACAGACGTTAAAAGTTGACAGGCATTGAGGGGCTAAAACAAGGACTGGCATGGTGGGAGTCAGAATACTGTGTCACATGATTAGTCAAATGACAACACATTCAACACATTCAACACATATAGTAATACATGTGCCAGAGTAAAGAAGACTAAGCAGTTGTTGGCTTGTCCCATCCTCAACTATCAAGGGCATTATATCTCCATACTATTATAAAAACCCTGAACCCATTTGCCAACATAGCTTTGTTTCTCTTATTAATTTTTTTCAGAATATCACCTGCTTGTGTGATAAATTTGATTTGATGGCAATTTTTAGAGTTGTGTAATTGAATCAGGTTTTGATTGAAGCTAATATGGTTGATGGGTCCAGTGTATTTATCATGACAGAATGGAGGTACAATACACTGAATAAATGAAGATGATCAAGTCCCTGATGTAGACGGTTTGGTTATATTATTCGATACACTAGATCACGTTTGTATTACAATACAATGGATCAAGGTTGTAATTCATTCAATGCACTGGATCACTTTTGTATAATTCAATATTCTGTTTCAAAATTTAACCCCCCTCGACATAAAATAGACATCGCTGAGGTCATATTGTATTCAGGGAGTCATCATTGTTTAAGTACGGGTAAATATTTTTAAAGTTTGTACATTATATTGACATCCTTAAAAATGGAAAGAGGCTGTACATAAAGCTGAAATCGAAAATAGACGACTCAAAACAACACTACAAGGACAATAGACCATGAGGGTGTGATATATAACTCCCACTCTTCATTTATTTGTCAATTTAACCCTCACTCAATGTGTTCTTTCTACTTGTTATCAGTGACATGATCAGGAAGCAGTTTTTGAAGGGTGTGACTATCATGACTAGGTTACACGATTGTTTGCAATCTTTGAGTCATGTCAGTGTTCTTAAAGGTGCCAGACCAGAATTTTCCCTTTTTAATGTTAACATATCCTGAAACAAAGAAATTCAAATATACACTCAATGTGTCCAAAGGGTTGCTAAGTATGTTGCATATTAATCAACAGTCATGATTGCCTTTTGTTACGGCTTGCCCTTGTGTTAAGCAATTAGGGAATAATTTCATTTTTTAGAGTTTCTTCGAACTTAGATTTATAAATTTATTTCAAAATAGAAACAGATGATGCTCATTTCTGCTATATTGCTGGTAATCAGGCTGAATCGTACATGGGAACAGGTACTTGACAATGAATTGTGTAGTTCCATGACAACCGGATAACAAACATTACAGCACAGGGCTAATCTGTCTGAAGTATGACAGCTGGTACTGATTGAGATAGTGATAGTGACATAACGATGTAGACATAACGATGTAGACATTGACGAGCCAGGTGTCAAATAGGAGTGATCAGGTAATTACTGAATCAACAACACAGGTAAGATACAGACAGACTATATTTCGTACAAAGCAAAATGTCAAACTTATCGATATCTAGACATCAAGATTTATATTTCAGATGATTTATTACAAATGTCATCCTTATCCATATATAGATGAATGTAGCCCATTTTGATCATCCCTTACATGAGTGAGTATGTTGTTATTGTCAAACAGTAAGTGTAAGCTAGGATGCCTTATCAATGTTAAGAAAATGTTTTAATGTTTTTAAATTTTGATATCTGTTATTGCTGAAAGGGATTTTGGGTATTAGAAGCTTTTTCTTGAAGATTAACATGATTAAGAATTGTCATGCATATAAGGTCTTACAAAAATGTTTCAGAACCAATTGATAGAAAACAAAATCCATGTCTTTGGACTACCACTACAATGTGTGTTTTTCTCACACGTCTTAGAAAAGCCTATGTTTTATAAATGGTTTGAAGTTTTTCCAAAACTAAAGATATGAAAAAGATTAAAAAGTGGTTAAAAATATATTCAGAAAAGTGTCATCATTTTTGGTTCCATCAAATAACAGCAAGACCTGTTGGACCAACAATTCACATCCTGCATATTGGCAACATATTCAGAAGAGAACCTTTGTACAACACAAAAACAATCTGAAGTTTTTCCTGCCTCTACAGTTTAGGCCCATGCATAACACTGTTGTTATTTCTTATCATACATGTAAATAGAGGATAAAGCCTTTCACTGGATTGGATTTCAAAAAAACTTTTGTGCAGACTGATTGTTGGTATTGCGTCATGTATGATCCTTATGATTTGTATAGATATTCTTGTAGTGACCTATTCAGCATGTTCAGACGAATCTGTCTTAAGCTGACCACCATATTGAGATGTGCTTTTTGTTAAATACCAGTGTGACTGCCAACAGAGCTGCATACATTTGTATTAATTGTCTACTTAATAAAGAAAATGAAATAAAGAAACGTGGAAATTTGTTCTTTTGCTTTTAGCATGCTTAAATAAGATTACCACAAAGATATTTGGTTATTGCCAAATCATACATAATTGAATTGATCTTACTTTATGTCTGAGTTTTAAAGTATTTTTTCTTTGCATATTACAAATGTTCTAAGTAAGATTATTGTTAGTTTAGTTCAGATGATAAACATGATAAAAACCCAGTCATCATGACTATATACTACGTTAAGGAGGGTAACTCCAATACTCTCTTGTGGGAATTATTCCTTTGATAACAGAAAGGATTTTTAACAGATAGGAAATGTTCTAGTTGAATTTCAATACATGATTTTGATAATAACCCCTTGTAAGTAAGTAAACAAACAAGAGGTCATCCTGACTGATATCCTGGTCTGAAAAGATTTAAAGTTATATTTTCTTGAAATATTTTGATAATAACCCCTTGTAAGTAAGTAAACATAAACAAGAGGTCATCCTGACTGATATCCTGGTCTGAAAAGATTTAAAGTTATATTTTCTTGAAATATTTTGATAATAACCCCTTGTAAGTAAGTAAACATAAACAAGAGGTCATCCTGACTGATATCCTGGTCTGAAAAAAAGGTTCTAGATTAAACAGTTAGTCAGTCCAAAGTGTATGGATAACCTTAGTCTGTCTTACAGACCCTGATACAAATATATATCAAATACAGCCCATGCAAGTCTATAATGTTTGGCAAGTCTAGATCACTGCAGTATCTGAAAATGAAGAGAGTCACTGGGCTCCTTTTTATTATATTTTTATTAAGATAACTGAACAACTGTTTTTTTTATGTACGATATGTTCATTTCAGAGACTAGATTTTAGTCTAGGATAACCTCATCTTTCACATGAGGCTGTGCCTACACAGAACAGGATGATGCCTCTGTGTGTGGCTCAGATCAACCCATGTATCTTGTAATAGGGGCCTACCCTTATATTCAACTCTTTGAAAGAGGGGGGCACAGGTGGCCCAGTCGTCTAAGGCGCCGCGATTCTCTGCGCAGGGTTGCGTCCCTTGGGCACGCCAGAAATCTATGATTGTGGGTTCGAATCCCGGTTCGCCCCGATTATGTTTCTAGGTTTGTCAGCACCATACCCGTGCTCGTGGGTTTCACCGTAGTGGTAAACGTCTGAGACCTGCATCACTTGGGGCTTTCCTCCCACATTAAGCTGGCACACCGCGATATAACTGGAATACTGTTAAAAGCGGCGTTAAACCCAACGCACTCACTTTGAAAGAGTCTCAAGAAGGAAGGTCACACCCATGCTATAATTTTACTCCGACTGTGTAAGGGCACAAGGGGAAAGGTATTGCAACAAGCGGACTGCGAGATCAAGTGCTCTCTCTCTCCTCTGTGTAGGTATTTGTTGGTCAACTTTTCTGGAATGTATTCATGTTTTAGGATTCAAGTGACTGAGCTATGTTGTGAGCTTATGTCTGTGTTATTGACATGGCTGAGCCTGTCACACCGTGGGGCTGTTTATGAATGTGTGTTACTGGCTAGGGTGTGTGTGTCTGGTGAGTCAGGGCTGGGTCCCAAAGACAGAAATACACTTACACTGGGCCTAATGTTGTAAGTTGATATGCCAATGGGAAGTTGATCCTTGTTTATCTCAAGACATCTGATCAGGCAGGCCTACTAGGAAGAACTGAAGGAATGTCAAAGAATATTCTTTAAGGTGTACTAAGGAGTACAGGAAGTAGGCTGACTTAAGTATTTGAAATGAAAAGATTTAAAGTTATATTGTCTTGAAATATATAATAAAAGGAGCACAGTCACATGATCTCTTCATTTTCAGAAAGTGAGTGAGTGAGTATGGTATTACGCTGCTTTTAGCAATATTCCAGCAATATCATGGCGGAAGAAACCAGAAATGGGCTTCACGCATTGTAACCATGTCGGGAATCGAACCCGGGTCTTCGGCGTGACGACGGAACGCTTTTACCACTAGGCTACCAGAAGCCCCATTCAGAAAGTGGGAAAAAAAGTAGTGTAGACAAATGATTGTGGTTTTTCAGATATCTTCCTGTATGAGAGACTATCCAGGAAAAAGAATGTTTGCCACTTGATTATTCGTGTAATATTCAGCTGGTAATGTTTGATGTATATGCAGTGTTGGAAATTATGCATGAATGTGTTACTTCCTTGTCATATTCCTTGTTTTA